GCCAGCTAGAAATGGGAAAGAGAGACAGAAAAGAACAGAGACAGAATGGCCAGACGGAAATGGACAGAGCCATAGAGAGGCAGAAAGAATGATGGGAAGTGGAATAAATAGGACAGCACCGCGAAGAGGGGAGACAAAGAAAGGGAGGAGAGGCCAGAGGCGGACAGAGGCAGAGAAAAGAAGGAAGCAGGCAGGGGGCATCCAGCCGCCCTCCTGGCGTCTCTGGGTGCCTGCCTCCCTCCGTTCCCGTTTCAGCCGGTGCCCACCAGGGCAGTGCTGGGCCGGGGGAGAAGGGTATTGAAGAGACATTCTTTTAGGAGCAAGACTTTTGGAGAGAGAGGCCTCCCATGCACCTCTTAGCACTAGAAAAAGAAGTAGAAAAAAGTCTATTTTGGAAAATGAAGCAATTAGCTGCACCACAGCTGCCTCAAAAGTATTTTAGTGTCAATAATCCAGTGTTTTGGGGCTTGTGTCACAGTTTCTCTTCCTCAGACCTCCTTTTCTTACCACTCTGGTACACTCTGATCATGTATGTGCAAGCCAAATCATTAGAATGGGTGTAAGCATCAAAGAATCCATTTTTACTAGTACAGTGGGGCCTTTACTTAGGAGTGTCCCGACTAACGAGTTTTTCGAGATACGAGCCGTCTCTCGGCCGATTTTTTGCTTTGAGTTGAGAGCTAAAATTCAGGTCATGAGCCAGCTTCAGATACCCCACCGCTAGTTGGTGCAGCGAACGTCACAGTGAACGCCAGTGCCCGAGGGAGGTCCCTTGAGGGCGGGGCAGACCGAGGGCAGGGCGGACCCAGGGCCCGTCGTCCCCACCCGCAGACACCCCTCCGGTCATGCACGGATGCATCAAGTGCCTCCTGGAAGCGCCCCGATACCCGCGAACAAAACCCACAATAAGGAAACACATCACAATGCACCCTGTCCTGGGAAGGGCTAGGGAGCGAAAAAGAAGGAAGGGAAGAGAGGTTGGTGACTCTTTTAGAGATCTAGGTCAAGAGAGATCTCTCTGAGGAGGTGGCATTTGAATTGAGTTCTGAAGGTGAGAAGCGGTGAGTCAGTCAAGCAAAGGGTCAAGAGTGCTGCAGACAGGGGCGGGGGCGGGAACAGCATGTGCAAAGGCCCTGGGGCAGGGTCATGCCTGGTGGTTGGAGGAAGGGCTAGGAGGCCCTCCCTGGTGGCTGGAGCAGAGTGAGCAAGGGGGAGAGAGGGCGGAGGTGAGGTCAGGGAGGTGATGAGGGACAGGTCTTACAGAGCCATGTGGGCCTTTTGGGCTTTTACCATGAGGGAGGTGGGAACACTGGAGGGCTGTGGGCAGAGGGAAATAAGTGATTGCAAATTCTATTCATCACTTACTCATTTATTCCCTTATTTCCTTCAAGACACATTCAACCAGCATCTGCTCTGTTGGTTCGGCTGGGCGATGCCAAGCACCAGAGACATCACAACCTAGGACCCTGCCCTCAAGGGTCTCCTAGTTGAGGGTGAAGGATACAGCGTTGGACATAGACACTCCCAGCCCTATGAGGTCAGGGCTTAAGTAGGAGGAGAGAACCCAGGCTGGGAAAGGCCAGCATGTGGGCATGGCTTCCCAGACGGGGTAGGCATTGGCGCTAGGGCTTTGGCAGATGAATAGGAGTTCAACATTCCCACCAAGGAGACACCTTCCCACGATCACCAACTAGTTCAGTGTGTGCTTCGTGGGGGAAAAGCAGGAGTAAAGGCTTGTGGTCAGTGGCAGCCACAGGAGGCTTGTGAGCAGGGGTTCACCCATCCCCAATCCTATGTTCCCTGGCAACCCCTTTCTCAGGCTCCTCTTGCCTCTCCAGTCACACCTCTTCCCAAAAGCCTTCCCTGATTGCCTGCTGTCTGCGCCTGCCCACTGTCTTACCCGCCAGGACCGGACTGACCAGTTCTGGGTCTCCAGGATGCTGGCTTGACCTCCATGATTCAGTCTATACTTAGAAGCCAGTTAAGATGAAGCCCCCTGGGAACTCCTCCAGCCAGTGGCAGGAGGGAGGGTGAGAGGGAGGCTGAGGCCAGAATGGGGCAGTGGACAGAGTGTGGGCTCTAACCCCGACCTTGACCCTTGAGAGATCCCAGGAAGGAACTTAACAACCCTGGGCCTCCATGTTCCCATCTGTCCAATGGAGCTGTTATGAGGATGAAATGACTGAGGGTAGAGCACTGAGAAATGTTACTGAAATGTTACAGTCACTGATAATTGTCTATGCTGAGAGTGTTAGGGGCAAAAAATAGAATATTGGGGACTAGCTATGGTTATGGGAAATATTAACCATGTTCTGTTAACCATGACTGCCTTGTTCTGGTTAAAGAAAGGACATTCTAGCTAGCCCTAACTGGTTTGGCTCAGTGGATAGAGCATCAGCCTGCGGACTGAAGGGTCCCAGGTTTGATTCTGATCAAGGGCATGTACCTTGGTTGCGGGCACATCCCCAGTGGGAGGTGTGCAGGAGGCCGCTAATCAGTGTTTCTCTCTCATTGATGTTTCTAACTCTCTATCCCTCTCCCTTCCTCTCTGTAAAAAATCAATAAAAAATATTTAAAAAAAGAAAAAAAAAGAAAGAAAGGACATTCTAGCCTGGCTGGGAGTTGTATCCCCACCCAGGACCTGGGAGTCAGCCTTGGAATGTGGTCCATTCTCAGTCAAGAACTGCCTATTATCATGGAAAGATTAACAAGCTTTTTGCCCCAAAAATGGAGTCCCACCCAGCCCACATAACCTACTTCCCCATGCCTGCAACCCCTTCTTCCCCAAGTAATCTTAGTCCCACTCGATATAAGCAGCTGGTTTATGGGGTTTTGCAGAGCAGATTTTTGTGGATGACCTGCTGCTCTCCCATACTGCTGGCGGTATTCGAATAAACGCTCATATACAATTCAACCCTGTCTCAAGTAGTGACAGGCAGCCTGGACCCATTGGTTGTCTAGTTTCAAGAGGATATTCAGAAAGAAGTGCAATTTGGCTGGCTGGTTAGCTCAGTTGCTTAGAGCATCATCCCAATACACCAAGGTTATGGATTCAATCTCAGGTCAGGGCACATATAAGAAACAACCAATGAATGCATACAAAGGTAAGCGGAACAACAAAGTGATGTTTCTTTCTCTCTCTAAAATCAATAAAAACATATTTTTAAAAATAGAACACGTCCCTTAATTCCCACATGACGCTGTTATCTGCCATCTTACAGGCGAGTAAACTGAGGCAGAGAGAGGATGCACAGTTCCCCTGCCAATACACAGTGAAAACGGCAGAGCCAGGATTTGAATCCCAGCCACTTGGCTTCAACACTCACGCTATTGTCCGCTGACGATGAAGCTTCTTACACAATCATGAGATTTCAGATGAAGATTTTGAAAGTGGCTAAAAGCAAATTCCAGATGGATTACCCTTCCCAGAAGAGAGAGAGAGAGAGAGAGAGAGAGAGAGAGAGAGAGAGAGAGAAGGAGAGAGAGAAACTATAAACTACTCAAAGAAAACATGGGAATTAAAAATAATAATCCTAGTTTGTTAAAGCATGACATTAAACCCTGGCCTTTAATTAAAAGATTAATAACTGACTACAGACACATATAAAATTCTTACACACACACACAAATACTAGACAGTCAGTAGACAAAGTCAGGAAAACTTTTCCAAGACTGATAGAGAAAAGGCTGATTTCCTT